CGGCGGGACGCACCGTTGGACCAGTCGTACTGGTTGTCGTCGTCCGACGCGCGGTGGATCAACGGCATGCACGACGGGTGGCGCTTGAGGAGGTTGTAGATGAAGGGCACGACGGCGACGATGGCGGCCGGGTTGGCGGCGAGGGCGAGGCGCGCGAGGCGCTTGATGAAGGACGCGACGAGCGTCGACGGGAGGTGCGACGACGACATGAAGATGTCGAGCAGGCGGAAGAACCGGGGCCGGTACCGCACGTGGAGGACCGAGCGGTCGAGGAGTGAGTAGAGCTTGGTGTAGAAGTCGGGGTACTCGCTGCGGTGCGGGCGAGGGAGCGAGTCAGGGCGTCGCTCGATCGATCGAGAGAGTGAGAGGGAGAGAGAGAGAGGTCGACGCACAGGCCGTGTTTCTGCATGAGGGTGAACAGGCCGTTGAGCGCGAGGATGCCGACCGTGCCGCCGACGTCTGCGCAGTCGACGAGCCAGTCCATCAACCGCCTCGGCTCGGTCATGTGCGGCAACACCTGGCGGTGCAGCATGACGAGCGCGCGCTTGCTGTCGTCGTCGCGGATCGGGAGCGCGAGGACGGCGAGCCAGCAGTCCTGGAACGCGCGGCGGTGCGCGACGAGCGACAGGAGCGCCGGCAGGTTCTTCTTGCGCTGCTGCGAGTTGAGGCTCGCGACGAGGTCGGGCTCGGGTTCCGACTCGGACGACGACGAGTCAAAGACGCCCGTCGAGCCGTCTGCGGGCGACCGCTCGTCGTCGGCCTTGCGCTTCTTGGACGACGACAGGGGCTTGTGCGCTTTCACGGTCGGCGTCGCGCAGAACCACTCGTTGAGCTCCGACGACGAGGTCGGCATGGTCGTGAGCGACTCGAGGACCGAGATCGTGTTGGGGATGAGGGTCGGCGGGACAGGAGGCGGCGACGGGTTCGACGGCGAGCGGGCAAAGGACGACAGGAGGGTGCTGCGTGGGGGAAAACCGCGGACGGGTCAAGTCTCGTCGGCCGGGCGAGGGGAGAGAGGCAAAGAGGGACGCACGCTGCCTCGCGCAGGAACCAGTACCGCACGTCGTCGCAGCGGTCCCACCACTTCTGCCACTCATCGGCGACGTCGGGCTTGATCTCGCCATCGTCGCCCGACTGCGGCGGCGGGAGCAGGATGGCGCGCACGACGTGGGCGAACGTGGCGTGGGCAAACTTGGCCTGACGGTCCGGGTGGAGCGACGTGAGGAACCACGACTCGGTGCGGACAAGCGACATGAGGGCGTTGAGCGCCGACAGCTGCGAGGAGAGAGCGTGTCAGGTCGAGGTAGCTGAGGACGGGGGCGTCGCGGGGCGAGGGGCAGAGCGGCTCACCCTGACGCTGCTGTCCCAGTGTGCGCCAACGACGCGTGCCGTCTGGGCGAGGTAGTCGTCCCACCGCAGCTTGAGCCACGCCTTGACCTTCTCGACGCTGTCGTCCTCCTTGGCCACCTCTTTCCTGCCCTCGGCCGTGTCGACGCGGACGCGCTTGGCGCCCTTGAGGACGCCGTGCAGGCGCCCCTGCTTGATCAGGGCCTCGAACACGCCCTTGAGCGTGTGCAGCGCCGTGTGCACCTCGAGCCGGTTCGTCTCGCGGTCCTCGTTGGACGCCGAGTCTGGGAGCGCGAGCGGCCGCGACTGGTACAGGGCGACGAGGTCGGCGAGCGGGTTGAGCGAGGCAGAGGCCGGTGCGGCGGGCGGGAGGGACGCGGCGAGTTGCGAGATGAGGGTGAGGGGAGAGGGCGAGTTGGCCGCGCGCGGCTTGCTGGTGGATGCCGTGGCGCGCTTGGTGGTGCCCTTGGTGGGCAGCGACTTGACTGCCATGCTCGCTGCGCTCGTCGGTAGAGCGGGGTCGAGGTGCGGATCTGGGCCAACCACCCGCCCGAGCTCTCTTCGACCGATGAAGCGAGGCGGTGCTCTCGACCTCTCGCTCCTCCCACACCACGTCGTCCGCCATTCTGGCTCGTGCATTGCCCTCCTGAGCTCTGCGGGCGCACCTCGGGCGCGAGCACCAGCTGCCGCCTGTCCTGCTCACCAACTCGCTGTCCACTCCGCTCGCGGCTGCTCGAGCTGGCTCTCGACTGCGCTCTGCGCTCGCTGCAGCTCGTCTACACGCGCGCGCGAGGTCCCACGCACTCTCGTCCACGACATCGGCCCGCAGTGCCTCGTCGACGGCCGCGCTCCTCGCGACGACCCGCGCCCTCGTCGAACGACCGACCCACGCTCCGCCCCGGCCGTCGCGCCAGTCCAGTGCGCGCACGCCGCGCGGTCCACCGCGGGCTCGAGACGCTGCGCCTCGCTTGGCTGGAGCGAGCAAGGCGCGGTTCGGCGAACGCCTACGGATCGAGGGCCGGGCGACGGTACGGTCGGACAAGACGGACGTGGGAGGCGGCGGCGCGACGATAGCTCTGCGGCGGCTCGGCTTGCGAGGACGAGACGGATCCGACAAGGCCGAGGAGGAGCGCGTCGAAGGAGCTGCGCGGCGAGTCTGAGGCGGCAGGGAGGGAGGCCATGCGTGGTCCGGCGCTTCGCGGCGTCGCATCGTCCAAGTCTCTCATGTATCTCACAGTTCGAGTCAACAAGCTGTGCTCTCTGTCCAGTTGCAACGATCCTGAGCGGCCCGAGAGCGCGAGCGCCAAAGACGAGGCCGAGCAAGCGAGCGAGCTGTGGCCCGAATCCTGCGCGGCTCGCTCGAGGCAGCACCGCAGGCGAAAGCGGGCACGAAGGCACTGCGAGCTCTCTCTCTCTCTCTCGAGACGACCGACGCCGAGGGCCGACCCAGCGCTAGTAATGACAACAGCTCCCTCGACACGTACCTCCCGCCCGCCGCCCGCCCCTCGCCCCCCCCCGCTCCCCCCTCACGCGACCCCCCTCGCCCGCCTCCCCAGGCTCGCCGTCTCTGCGCGCTCATCGAGCAGGGCGACCTCGCGCCCGAGGCGGTCCTTGCGCTGCTGGAGCTGCGCGAGGCGCCCCTCGAGGGCGTCGAGCTCGGGTTGCGGGACGACGGTTGGGGGCGAGGTGGTGCTGTTGCTGCTGGAGGAGGAGGAGGAGGGGAGGCGCTTGTCGAGCTGCGCGGGGGAGAGGCGAGGGAAGGATGGAGGGA